GGCTACCTTGACAGTGAAATAGTGCCTCCTAATCTCTAACCTGAACCTATTCTCCAGCAGCTTCTGGCCACTGTTCCTCGTCACCCCAGGTGCTGCTGGGGGCAATAGGACCCTTCCTATTTGCTGCTGATCTCCCCTAACGAGTTTGTAGGCAGCCACCAAATCCCCCTTCAGCCTCCGCTTGCTTATGTACGTGTATATTTAATAGTTGGCGTTTTTAATTAACATTCCCTGTGAAATATCTCCAAGTACATTCTCAAATATCCACTAGAGTAGCTGTGGGGGTGGGTGGGTTGTTTTTTTTTTCCTCCTCTCAGATCCCTTGGATGCAGTACTCCATTTGAGGCTGAGGCTGGATCAATGTCATGTAGAAGGGGAGGATCACCTCTCTGGACTGGCTTGAGATGCATCTTTGGATGCACGACAAGGTGCGGTTGGCCTTCCTGGCTGCGGTCTGGCATTGGCGGCTCATGTTCATCTTGGAGTCAATAATGACTCCAAGATCCCTTTCCACCTCTGTGCTCTCAAGGGCGGGGCGCCCCAGCTTGTATGTGTGCTGTGGATTCCTCCTCCTCAGGTGCAGCACCCTGAATTTATCTACGTTGAAGGCCATCCTATTACCATCCGCCCACTTCTGTAGTCTGTCTAAGTCTAATTGCAGCCTCTCTCTCCCTTCGAGTGTGCCTACCTCTCCCCACATCTTGGTGTCATCGGAAAACTTGGACAACGTGTTTTCCACCCCCTCGTCCAAGTCACCGATGAAGATGTTGAACAGCACGGGTCCAAGGACTGAGCCCTGGGGGACCCCACTGCTCACATCCCGCCAGGTCGAGTACGACCAGTCCACCACCACTTTCTGGGTGCTCCCCCTCAGCCAATTTTTGACCCATCCAACTGTGAGGGCATCAATGCCACAGTCGCTCAGTTTATTAATGAGAATGGGGTGAGAGACAGTGTCAAAGGCCTTCTTAAAGTCCAGAAAGACTACGTCCATAGCGACACCATCATCCAGGGATTTAGTTACCTGGTCATAAAAGTTCAACCCTGAAAAGCGCTGAGTGATGCTGTTTGGGTGGAATACAGAATATAAAAGATGTGGTGAAGCTGGGAAGCTGTTCTTCCCCACTTGAGCAAGGAACAAAACACCCAGCAGCAGTTTGCACTAGAGAACACGGGCCACTGAATTACTAACATCTGGGAGCTTCTTCCTCGGCCTCTGAGCTGGAAGGACAGAGGCGAGTAAGGCAAGCAGACATTTCATAATCCAGGTGCTGACCTGTCTCTGGTCCATTTTACTGCCACTGCTTAATGAGCCAGGTGGCAGGCCAGCCAGTCTTACCCCATGCCCCTGTCCCTGCCAGGGTTTTCAGTGCACCCTGGGCCTCAGGTTGAAGGGCGCCAGAATCTGAAATTAAGCTGAACCCCCTTGCAGTGCCATCTGCCTCCCTACTGTCCACCCTGCCATGGGAGTCAGACGGGTTTCCAGAAGCAAGGGCAGCCAGCAGCACTGAGCACACAGGATGAAGCGGGGAGCAGGCAGGGACGGCACTGCGCCCTGCTGGCAGGACTCAGAATTGCTCTGCAATGTGTCACAAGCGCTATACTGCTATCCACCAACAGGGAGTTCTCGGCTCTGGGGGAACAGGCCTGCATGCCAGCTCTGCTTGTGCCTTCGCTGCACCGTGCAGTCCAACAGCAACCATGAAGTTCGTGTGTTGTTATAGTTATGCCTCAAAATGCTGGGTGAGGCTGGCTGCAAGGAGGGGGTGGTATTGCTTTCGTAATGCAGTGCGACTTCTGACCATCCCGGGGCACTGCGGCCGTGGTTTTTGTTGCTAGACAGATCCAAGAAAAATGTCAGGAGCAAAATCAAGAACTGTTCCTCACCTTCACTGACCTGACCAAGGTCAATCGTGAAGCTCTGTGGACCATACTCCAATGTCTTGGCTGCCTGCTGAAGTTTGTCACCGTGCTGAGGCTCCTGCATAATGATATGACCGCCACCGTCCTGAGTGGAAGATCTGAAACTGATGCTTTCCATATCTGGACCGGGGTCAAACAAGGTTGCGTGATTGCTCCCACCCTGTTCACCATCTATCTGACCATCATCATCCACCTTATCCGAGATGATCTACCATCCGGTGTCAGTATCCAGTATTGACTGGACAGGAAGCTTTTCAATCTTGGGCGCTTCCGGGCAAAAACAAAACTCACCACCAAGGACATCCACGACCTTCAGTTCAGACGATTGCTGCGTGATGACTCTCTGCACAGGATGCGCAAGCAACCTTAGATCTCTTCAATGCTTCGTATAAGAGACTTGGCTTGTCCTTGACGTCGCCAAGACAAAGGTTCTCCACCAACCCTCCCCAGGCCAGCTTAACATCCCTCGCGCTATCTACGTAGACAGGGAGGCTCTGGAGCATGTGGAGCACCTTCTGTATCTCAGCAGCCACCTCTCTCAATGGGCTACCATCAATGAAGAAGTCCAGCAACTGCGCCAGTGCCGCCTTCAAGCTGCGACAACGTGTCTTCGAAAATAGAGACCTTTGGAAGTCAACGAAGGTCCTGGCTTAAAAGACTGTTGTGTCGACCACCCTCTACTGCAGTGAAACCTGAACCACCTACCGACGCCATGTTAAAGACCCTCAAAAGCTTTAATGGTGCTTGCATTGAATCCTTGGGATCAAATGGAAGGACTTCCAGACCAGTGTGAGTGTCCTCCGTGAAGCGGCATCCACCAGCGTCGAAGCCTTGCTCTTGAGAAATCAACTCCGATAGACGGGCCACTGCATCCGGATGTCCGAGAACCGCCTCCCTCGCCAGATTCTCTTTTCCCAGCTCTCAGTTGGCCAATGCTCAAAGGGTGGCCAAAGGAAACAGCACAAAGACACACTCAAGGTTGCCCTCAAGCACGGAGGCATCGACACCAACGGCTGGGTGGAGCCAGCTGCTGACCATTTGGTGTGGCGCCACCTGGCCCAGCAAGGTACGCATCACTTCAAATCCCAATGACTCGATACTGAGGCGGAACGGCAGCGGCGGTGAAGACCAACCTGGGGCTGCGAATCCCACTCCCCCAAGCGACAACATGCTCCCACTGCCGAATGTGCGTATCCAAAATCGAGTTCCTCAGTCACCTGAGGACCCATCAAGCCTGACAGATGTCATCCTTGACTTTGAGGGACTGCCAACGAGTCCAGCAGCAACCATGAAGCTCATGTGTTGTTGCAGTTATGCCTCAAAACACTGGGTGAGGCTGGCTGCGAAGGGAGGGGCGGGGGTTATAGCTTTTGTAATCCAGAGGGGGTGTCTGGAGGGGAGGCAGTCACCAACAGGCCTCAGAGAGCAGGGAATGGGGGAGCAGGGCGCTGGGAGGGCATGAGAGGCATGGAGCTTCAAGCTCAGAGTGCACACTGAGGAAGGAAGGTGAGTGAGGAACATAAAAGAAGTGGACAAGGGGACAGCTTGCAAGGTAAGGGAAAGGGGCCAGACCCCAGGGAGGGACAGGAGGGGTCAAGTCCTAAGCCCTAGGCAGAGGCAGCTAGCATGCAATGCTGTCCCCCAGGCCAAGCTCCCAAACCTGTCATTACTGATGGCATGGCACCTGGGCCAGTGAGCTGCCCACTTACATCCACCTCTCCCCTAAAGTCAGGCCTGCTCTCAGGCCTTGGTGCACCAGAGCTGGGCTGCCTCCTCCAGGGTCCTGCAGAAGGGAAGGGGGTACTCCTCTGACTGTGGGCTGCACAGCCCCCACCACTCCCTTGCTCCAGGAAGAAAGCAGAAGCGGCAGCTCACAGCAGAGGGGACCTCGCTTCCTGCATGCTGGGTGAAGGAGGCTCAGTGGATGGTAGGAGCTGGAAAGCAAATGGCTCTCTTTCTCCCAACACTTCTCGGTCATCCTGAATTTCCCACCCTGTGGCAGGTTGAAGCAGAAGTCTTTGGAGGCTTTTGGACAAGGAGAAAGAGTGAGACAAAGGCCCCAGCAGGAAGGACACCTGCCTGGAGTGTGGAAGAACCACATTCAAGTTCATGTCCAACTGAATCAGGGGCTTGAAGTTGGGGCTTCTACATGCTAGGGCGGTGACCCGTGTGCTGGGCTGTAGGGCCACGCTCACTCCAAGACCCCACAAGCACTTCAGCTGCTTTGCACGGACAAGCTGCCCCTTGGGATACAGGAGACGCAGGCTCAAACCCCCACTCCAAAGCCAGCTGCACTGGGTGAGAGGATGACGGAGGGAGCCCCTTCTGAACCAGACTGGGTTTCCTCCAAACCAGATAAAAAGGTGCACTGAAAAATCCCCAAACCATCCTAAAGGGGAGGTGGCAAGGGCTGCAAGATAGCTGCTCCCCCAACATGCCCCCACACCTTTCTCTCATACATACAATGCAGGAGAGCACTGGTGGAGGAACTGAAGTTGTGCTTGGTTCTGCCCAGCCAGAAGCCAGGTTTAGACAGTGCAGGCCCATCCCGGGCACTCAAGAGTGATGCTCTGGAGCGCTGTGCCCCTGGCTGGTGACGGGGAGTCCCTTTACAGGGAGGAAATGCCCTGGCTTGGTACGCTTTTTAGCTCTACTGGGAGGTGGCACCCTGATATCCTTATGTCCTCACATGGTAGCAATATAACAACGGGTCTGCCCCAGCCTTGAGGCCTCACTGGCAGGACAAGGAGGGAACGTGCTCCACTCTGCCCCAGTCTCTCTGCTCAGGTCGCCAACAGAAAGGTCAGTTCCAGGGATGGCTCATCTGCCCATGAGGAAGCATCCTAGACCCACATGCCACCTGATGGGAGTACCCACTTCTGGCAGGCTCACACCAGAGACAGGTACCAGTCCTGTGGCAAGCCAGCCAGCCCCTGCACCCGCCGAGGGAGCTGGTCCTACATACTCACAAACTCAAAGCAAGCGTCTGGAAGGAGAATCGGGCCTGGCTAGCAACAGCTTTGGGGATGACACCTGCCCAGGCAGGGACAGCAAGAGCAGATCAAGGAGCCACTGACCTCTCAACTTCGGAAATGTTGTTGATCCTGGAGGCTTCCAGCAGGGCATCTTCTAAGGAGAGACAGAGAGGAGACGAGTGAAGGCACTGGCAGGAAGGCCGCACACACGTGTGCCCCCAACAACCACAAGAACAGTGGGAATGCCCTGTACGTCATGGTACAAAGCAACCCCTGAACTACCAGGGCTCAGATGAAATTCATCCTAACCCCCCTGCTAAGGGATTCATCATGACACCTTTCTTTGGAATAGGTGGTACTGGACCCGGCTGGAGAGGGGTCTGGCTGACTCCCAGTTTAGGCACTAGGCTCTCCTACATTGGCTGCATCCTAAATCCCAAGGCTGCAGGAGTGACAGGTCCCAGCACGCAGCACTGTGCAAGGCTCTAGGACAGAGCAGAGCTGGGCAGCCCTCCTTTCCATGGGACAGGGACTGGCTGCTCCCCACAGTCTAGTCCCCACGCAGCCAACACTGGCATGACACGCCTGGAGAAGCCACCAGTAGTTCCCTCAGCAGTGAATTTTCGGGGAAGGGGCCTGCTCCTCCCGAGTGTCTGGACAGCACCTGGTATATTGCAAGCACCACTGTCTGCAAAGAATCAGGGCTGCGACAACTGGAGGCTGGCAGAGCTGCAAGGAGGAGTCCAGGAGAAGGACCTGGAGCTCCCAAATTTGCAGCAAGGCAAAAGGCAGAGGGCTGGGCCACGAGGGGGGCATAAAGCAAGAGCAACTGAGCTCTCAGGCCCCGTGCATCACCAGCACTGTGCTCTATTTCACAGCTGGCCCAAGACAGACAGCAGCAGCCAGAAGTGGAAGGGAAGCTGGTGGGCAGACCAAGAGCTCCACCTTTAGGCTAGAAAGGGGGACCACACTGCCTTGATCGTCACCCTGGAAAGCTCCTGTGTCAGCACTGTGCACACATGGCCAAAGGAAGGGACTCGGCATTGGGAAGGGAGGGGGAAAAGCTTCTGTCTCACAGAAGCTACTGCATAGCCAGACCCCCAGGGTGGGACTGTTTTACCTCAACAATGTCCTGTCAAGGAGAGCGGGTCCAGGCTGGGAACCCTGGGGCTGGCTGCCCTGCGCCCCCGAGGTAACCGCAGCCTGTGCAAACCCTGGGCGGGCCTTTCCACAGCGCGGCCACAGCAACAGGGGCTGCAAAACGAGGCTGGGATGCAGGGGGAGGGCTCACAGGCCAGAGCAGCTAGGCTGCCTCAAGTGTCCCCACCAGCGGGCAGACAGCTGGCTCGGGCTGGCCCACGCACGCAGCACAAGCCTGCGCCCCTTCCTAAGGCCCAGCAGCCTGCAGGAGATGACCCTGGCGAAAGCATCCTCTGAGCAAGGGCGGGGGAAAGGGACGAGCCAGGCACAGCAGAGGGCACAAGAACCACACAGAGGTTCAGATGCTTCCAGGGGCTTCAACCCGTGGCAAGCTCCCTGCGACATCCCCCTAGCTGGCGACGGCTGCTGGGATCTGGACACACGCATCAGGGACTCGAAGGACAGCATGTCCGTGCCCTGCTGGATGCGGTCCTCACTCCCCGACCTGGCACCAGGGGTCTGTGCCTTGGGGAAGAGGGCACCTGGCTTCTACCTGGGCCGTTATAACAGAGCAACCACTGCAAAGCCAGAGGCACCCCAAGGTCCCTAGGCTCCTGGGAGCAGGACCAGGCGGTTTGCATGCTGCCCACAGGATGGATACGCCTAGGCAGCGACAAGGCAGGACTTTCCACATTCCCCACACCTCGTGCTGGCTGACTCACCCGGCCTCACAGCCACAAAGTGCTGTCGACGGGGAAACTGAGGCACCGAGCAGCGCCGACCTGCCCACGAACACAGGGAGTGGCCCACTATGCTCCTCACGGGCAAGACACAGAGGGCAGCGTGCATTGGTGCATGCAGACAGCCCCCTGGCACACACAGCAGCAGGCTCCCGGCACCCACCTTGTCCTGTTCAGTGCCTCAGTTTCCCTCATCATCGCATCTTCCTGACTTAGCCTGCTTTGTCCACACTCTCAGGACTTTACTTCTCGTATCTCCCAAGTCCTGGTCACAACCCACCCTGCGCCACATGCTCCAAGCCTGCACCAAGCCCCCACGGACTTTCACGGGACTAGTCCTCACCCTGACACGCATAAGCACTCACAAAGCTGTGACCTGTGGTTTCAGAAAGCCACCGAGCGGAGCAGAGGAGGGTACAACGGGGCGCCAGCACAGACACCCCACATCCCATCAAGGTCTCCCAACACCACTAGCCACTGGGGCCTGTGCACAGCTCCCCTCCAAGGACCGTGCTGCACACACGGCAGCTGGGCAAACCCCTCCCTGAAGCCACCTTCCCCGACGGGCGACGGGGAAGAGCTCGCAGTCACACACAGCCGTGCCACGGGCTAGGCCAGTCCCCGCCGGAGGGCGAGCTCTGCACACGCGTGTGGCGATAGTCACCCTTGGACAGGTGCCCCCGGCCATAGCAAGACGCCACCACCACCGCTGCCAGCGCCGGGGCCGCGTGCACCCAGCTGCCCCGTGGCCTCCGCCGACCGCTGGGCCCCTCAGGTGCCGGCATCGCTGGGCTGCTGCTCCTCTGCCACGGGGCTGGCACGCGCGGACCCTGCGGTGCGAAGCTGCTGCACCCCGGCACCGGCATCACGCAGGATAACGCTGGGCTGCTGCACCCCTGCAGCGCCAGGCTCCTCCACCACGGGGATGGCTCGTCTGCATCCTGCAGCGCGAGGTCGCCGCACCCCGGCGCCCGCATCATGCAGAGTAACGCTGCGTTGCGGCACCCCGGTGCTGGCATCACGCAGGATAACGCTGGGCTGCTGCACCCCTGCAGCGCC